TGAAACCCTTTCCAGTAACAATGGCACGATAGCAGTCAAGAAGGGCATCTTGATTGTGTAGGCATGTCTTTAGGTTCAACGTAATCATTCATACAGCCTATGCCGTTGAATATTTTCGTTCCCTCTCCTGTCCTGATTCAACTCACTTGTATTCAGTTTTCATCCACACATTTTGTAACAGCGCGTAGTATTGCTCAGTGTGATGATCTGGGCACACTACTACTCCGAAGGGGAGACGGGCATGAGTATCGCAGTTTGCCGCAGCCTTGCCCGCAGCGCACCTGTTGCGATGAGCTCGAGGACGTTTAAATGTGGGCGTCACGCGGCAATGGGCGCGAGATATTAAAACTGCTATTAAAACTGCGCGTCAGTTACTAGATTGGAGCAGCGAAACTCGCGGTAATCGTCGCATATTTACGTGTTTTACTCAAATAAATTGAAAAAGTCAGTCATGCGTCAGTCATGCCACTGCTGCCAAACTAACAGTAAATTGTGCTAGAAATATTGATGAAGAACCTCATTCAAAACCGCTTACGGCTGGCGGCTTCAGTAACACCTATGTCCCTTTGATATTCAAATTCGAATGGCTAGGCAAGAGAATTCACCTGTTGCGGCGCGGTGTGCTCACCACGGAGGTCAGCGCAGCAAATTCCGATTCTCTTGTCACATACTTCCTCAAAACAGGGCATGCCATCGTGTGGTGATCATTTCCTGAGAAATACGACCCCCCCCTAATTCTATCCTCAAATACGACCCCTCCCCATGCTACCTACCACTTTCCTAGATTTTCCCAACTTCCTACCACTTTTTCCATTTTCCCCGAAAAATTTCCAGTTTTTCAGCCAAGAATTTTCCATCGACCTCGTGCCAGTTTTCCGAAAATTCCCAGAAAATTTCTGGTTTTTCCTCAAAATTTTGCTGCCGAGCGGGTAGGGGGAGGGGGAGGTCGTCAGGATTTCAACTATCATTCTCAACTATCGATAGTAGTTGTATAGATCTTCGGCAGTCCCTCTCGCAACAACGACCCCCCCCCCCCTTTATAGCGTCCGTGAAACAAGAGAAATCAACTATCAAAAAAATTTTTCTCAGACCAAATACGACCCCCCCCCCCTCGTTGTGATCATCACAACAATGGCGTGTCCTGCTCCGAATGCTCAAAGCAGTTGTAGCTGTTCAAGTTCAAAAAACATTTGCGTGAGGATTAGACCTCTGATGCTTCAAGATTTCCGCCTTTGTAAATTCGTATGAGATGTCTGCTTGATGGCTTCTCCATCTGAGTCCCATCTTCGTTTTTATTATAAACAGCTGATTCGACAAATACAAATAACATACACCATCATGGGTCGATCGTTGGAGGAAGATGGGAACAACTCGGTCTGTTGTAGAATTCAAATATATTCAGTATACAATTTGTGGAATTATCGGGAAATCAATAACCGTAACACAGGACCGAACTAATGTGGAGATCAATTTCGTTTCTGGATTAATTAGTCACCTCAAGGTGACAGAAAAATGAACCTTGAGAAGTAAAGTTAAATTCGTGGAAAAACGAGAACTTGTGAGATAGAAATGCAGTTCGTCTCATCTTGGTATTCCAGTCTGAGGTAAAAGTACCATCTTTTCGATAGACCACCCTTCTACATACTTCGACAAGACTTACTGTATTTCCGAACATTAAGAGAACATAAAAATTGTGTAAGGAGATCAATCGAGATGGTGCCACTGTGCCACTTGACGTCCAGGGTTCTCCAGTACTTCAACGACGTGCTGGTCTTCCATGTTCAGCAGTGCACGCCCGATGACGTCATTGCGATTCGTTCGGTCGTGGTTGATCACCTAGAAGGACCACTTTAGCGATGAGTGTGTTGTATGGGGAGAGAAGATTATTAAAAGGAGCTAATTTTGGCCATTACTAGAATTATAAAGGCCACCTGAACTCATTTATGATTCACTTGGATGGGGTAGCAATCAGAGGGGCAAAGTGGTCAGGGTTGGTTGATTTTTCAGCGCTGCGCATTTGGCACCGAGTTTTTTTTGGTTTTTTTTCCTGGTTGATGTAAGGTGGTTAATTCTCGTATACGGCTGCCGCGCTTCGGAACACTTTGCTTCCTTCTTCCTGTTTTCACCTGGACTACACAGCCCGCTTATTTTTCATACCACGGACTTCTTCTATGGTAACATTATTGTGCCTGGAACCATGCCAATAGCTGTTTTAGGGTCACAACTTCCCAGCTATGAAAATCTTGCATATTGAGAGTTCGTTTGTGCACTCAAAACAAAGGTTCTCGTTGATGTTTTTAGATGGAGATGGTATGTTAGCCTGTGGCTCGCGGCATGGGGATAAATCGCGGAACGACTCCCTTCCAGGCCAACCATATCCCAAAAAGAGTATGATCAACGAAGGAGGCTAATCCTTTCAAAAATCTTCCGTTTTATGTGTATAATGTAATCGATGTTTCTGAAAGTTGAATATCCGAGGAGCACTAATAATGGGTAATTTTGCACTATTTTCAGGAACAAATATTTGAAAAAATTCAGCGAGCTGAAATAAGAAGTTCTCAATAGCCCACTTCGCTCGCTAGCTTTCTCTTACAAACCTCATTTTTTCCAGCAGGTGATATAGCTTCTAGATGGAAATTTTCTTTTATTTTATCCTGGAACCGAAGCGATCCCGAATTGGCTTTATAGCAGTTTACCGGCTTGATAACTCCAATTTTCAATTCAGAAATTATAAAATCATTTTTGTTAGAAGCAGTGAATAGAAACTGCTTTTTTAATTTCGAACGATTTCATTTATTGTTATCGTGCAAGTTTCGAATTCAACTTAAATGCAATTGTTTTTCCACCAAAAACGTATATCTAAAGGCTATTGTTTTCATGCATGAGAGTTACGATAGGAGCCTTTTCAGCAGAAATCCTGAGTGCTTCCATCAAAGGCTTTCTGCTCGGAAAGTGCGTTTCGCTTTATACGTGATTTATTAACCATCTATGTGCTTATTGTGAAAAAGGAACGAAACCCGAATGTCAGCATTAACGGATTCCGCGAGAATCTCTTGATCCTAATGCAAGTCCGACACTTCCCGCAAAAAAGGACTGAATACAGCGCCTCTATTCCATTTATTCATTTCTTTTTACTAATCTTTGACAGCGGATGTGTTATAATAGCGAAGGGAGGCAAATGCCTCGGATGAGAACCTTCATATAAATTTTTGTTTCACATTAAATTGGAAATAAAGGTTTGGTACAGCCACAGAGCACGAACTCGACACGGGAACCAATTTTCCGCGCTAGTAAGTAGCACTGTGGCAGTAGCTTAAACTATAGGTAGCATCCCATATGGTGTTGACCTTAAGCGAAGGAATACGAGAGACTTTGCGACAGAAAATCGAATATTCGCAGCGCCCTCATGTGGTGTAGAAGCTTCTTCACAATGATCACTATCAGCTCGTACCTGTCAGAATTTCGTGCTGCTGTGCGAGTTTCGTCAGAATTTTGATGACTACACGTTGTTTGGTTCGCTAAGAATTGTTGAGATCTGTGAAAGGCATGGCAAGAGGATAGTTTCCATTTTTTTGGGGACGCTGAACAATCAGAATTTCTTAGGGTTATGGATTCTCATGGACTTGACACTTTGAGTCGGATAGTTCAGAAAACGCACGTTAAAAAGAGTCACAGCCATGATGGAAACAAGACGGCTGTCACAAGGCTGTGTCAAGTGAAATTCGCTTCAGATGAAGTGATGGGATGCTAGGCAGCAGTCAGATGTCAACTGCAATCACTTTCTGTTTTGGAGGCATGAAAAAATCCTCAGACGACAGTGTACTGCACCTAGGGCACGCCATCGCGTTGTGATCATTTCCGAAAAATATGGCCCCCCTAATCCATCCTCACATACGACCTCCCTCCCCACGCCACCTATTTCCCAGACTTTCCCAACTTCCTACCACTTTTTTTCTTCCCGAAGAGTTTCCAGTTTTTCAGCCAAGAATTTTCCGTCGACTTTTTCCCCAAAAATTACTGGTTTTTTTCCCCAAAATTTTGCTGTCGAGCGGTAGGAAGGGGGAGGTCGTCAGGACTTGACTATCATTCTCAAGTGTCGGAAATAGTATAGATCTTTGGCTGTCCATCTCCCAGCAACGACCTAATACGACCCCCCCCCTCTCGTCCGTGAAACAAGAGAAAACAACTACCAAAGAATCTCTTGTCTAAGCAAATACGACCCCCTCCCTCGCGGTCAAATACGACCCCCTCCCTCCGTTGTAATCATCACAACGATGGCGTGCCCTGACTGCACCCCTCTCATCTTACTGGCTTGGTCGAAATAAGGAGAATTTCAATAGCAAGAGATGCATTGGGACGGAATTTATTTCTCAGTCAAGAAGGCGCTTTTCCGTCAAGATTGACATACATTTACTTCCTGCCAAGAAATTTCAAAAGGATCACTTTAAGCACCAATGGTGAGGTTTTGACACCAATCTAATTAAGGCTTGCACTTCTTCAACTGGCAACGCATGGGGGGATTGAAATATAAAATGAGCTCTGTATGCACTAAAGCCAATCTATTCCCAACGCAAACATAGATAAAAAATGGAAAATGTAATGAATGAACATCTTGAGAAGATACACAGTAGGTTTCTGGAATGGCTTGGAGCGATTGCTGTTCAAGAGCTACACGATTCAAGAAACTAGTACTGAGAATCAGCCAAAAATTCATAAGACGAGAAAAGTTTTCATAAAATGTTCTGATTGATTGGATTAATCCAAACCGTGTAAATTCTGAATGGTACGAAATCCCCTCTGTACTCGTCCCTGGGTGACGCTTTCTCATCGGAACTACTTCTTTTTGATTACTGAAGGGGTTTCCGCTAACGAATTCACGGTGATAGAGGAAAGACCGTCTGATAGTTCGAGGAGAATAGGCTTCAGACTGTATAAGGTAGCGTAGGGGTTACAGCCACTGGTGCCTGCGAGAGTGGTTCAGAGTCATCCGTTAAAGTGGATCAGATTACGGTATAACAGTAGGAGCATCCAGAAATCTGAAAACACCCTTCTATAATATTTTAACAGCTTACTTGTAGATCGATGACGCAATTATCCATTTTTGTTTCGGGTAATTCAAAGACGAACGACTCGTTGTAGACGGGATTTACAGTGGCCCGACGTACGTGTGTCTTCTTTTTCACAATTCGTTCACCATTTTCGCGACGTAAGTAGAGCTTTACGTAAGGATCTGAAAGGAACACATGTGTAAGCTTTTATATGAAAATGGCCAATGCTGCAGTTTTGCACGCAAGAGCAACTAATTTGGTCTATTCATGAAAGTCGATGTTTTATCGTGATTACATCACTCTTCAGCAGTGCTGTGATGGAACGCGACAGCATGACATCAATGTTCTGCTTTAATGGAATCCCTTTAATAGAATAGAATAGTGTATTATTGCGCTTTGAAGCACAGTATGAGATTCAATACGCAAGGCCATATGTGTAGGCGCAATATGTGAAGAAAAGGGAAAGAATCACTAACATATTAATGTACGGTTTTTTTAAATCGCGAGCGGGATTGTTTGGAAATCCCACGCATAATAGCCCACATCAGAGGGCAAAATGGGGCGTATCGGAGTCCACTGGTGCTGATGGCTGCGAGAGTCCGGAGAGAAGAGAGGCAGAGACCTGTGTATAACAGAGGAAAGCCGGCTCCGTGTTGAATTGCTAGTTATCCCTTATTAGACCCCGTTAAGTCACACGTCAGCTTGGTGAGGTCTACAAACTCCTGTCAAGTATATGTGGAGTTCACGTTCTTCCATAGCTTCACAAGCGTTTACGGATCTCAGGAGGAAGCTTCGGCAGTGATGGGTAGAAACTAGCAAAATGCCCCCACCAAGCCCGCCCGAAAGCACCGTTTTCTTGGGGGCAAGCGTCAGTTGGGGTTAGCCACCAGCATGTATATAAACTTATATACAACTGAAATTGTATTACATTCTGATATTTAATAAGGGTGACAATTACTTTCTCATCAGTTTTTCATAAACTGACATCCAGGGGTAACCGAGCAAAGGTCCTTATCACAAAGATGGTATCTATTTTTGGCGCAAAATGCCACATTTCTCACGAACACGAACTTACATGAAGTTACATGCGCAGTGAAAGGAAAAAGTCGAGGGAACTAGTCGGGAATATGATATTCAGCAGGGCGCCGACCTTCGAAATGAGTGCCCTGTTCGTGGTTTAGGGAAGTTGGGAGTCGATTAAGACAGCGGTTGATTCTAGCAAAAATAAGGTACGCGCCTGAAACAGTGCCTAAGACGCTCTTTTGTGGAAATCCGCTTCATGTCCTCTTTCCTCGCATTGTCGAAGCTGAGATATTCATATATGCAGTGAATCTCAGATATTTATGAAGCGACCACGTAACGGTTATGCAGAAGGTTTGAGACATGCTTCTGAGAAAATGGAGACAGTCGAGAGAAGATGATTCCTGAGTGAAGCTATTTTTTTGGTTCTTCATTTTTCAAGGCATACTTCGCGATGAGATAGCGAGAAGTTCGTGGGTTTAGGGTTCAGAAACAGGAGTTTACGTGTCAGATGACCTGTCTGTTAAGAAAAAGGAGAGCAGACCGTTGAAGGCGCTCCAAATAAGTCCCTACTTGTGTGATGCGATAGAGAGAAAGAATCGACGTGAATATCGGACGCGAAGACAGCCAAAGCATTGGCTGTGCAATCTTGTGCCCTACAACAGCTAGCTTACCAGTTTTTGTCGTGAAACTTATACAGGGCTGTTCGTTCCAGTCCACACCACTTCCCCTTACGAGATAATTATCAGTGATCGTGGGCTCTCCCTCTAATCTTTTTAAGCTTCGCGATGGGATTTTCCCTCCACCCACACTAATAGCCTCATTCCTGTCACTCTTATCCTAGGTCATATGACAAGTAAAACTGCTATTTGAACGGCTTTTGTTGAGGTAATGCGGAAGTAGTTGAGTTTGACGACGCACATACAATCGACAAGGCGCAAGACGGGGCATGGCTTGTAGCCAGGGCAGATTTCCCACTAACTGCAGCGGTCTCAGGACGACCTAAGTGGTGGAACTAGGCTGTACTGGCTGTGCACACGCACGCACCGCAACTTGGAATTGGGGAAGGAGAGAGAGCGTGGTTGCGCTTTCAGAGGGATGTTGCAAATGGATATTTGGGCAACTGAATCTGGCTATTCATAGATTTCGATACGCGTACGAAAGAATGCCAGTGTCTTTAAAGGCAGTTGGCACGATAAATCCTCCAAGACGAGCAGGACTAATACGCCTGGCAGGACGGAATTCCGCGACCCTGAGCAGGCGCTGCATAATGCCTTTTCCAGGAAGTGCCCTTATAAGGGCGCTATCAAGCCACAACTTTACGTCCCAAACGCCCCTTGCCCGCCCGCCCACAAATGGACGACCGTTCCTGACGCTCGTATTCATTCATTTGCTAAGCAAATTATGAAGCGAAGGGATTGGTATGAAGCGGTCGTGATGCTGCATGGATATATGAGTACACATATGCAGCCGTACCTTCGGTAGCGGTTATTGGTAAGATGCCTTCGGGAAACTCGTCCAAAATTGATTACTAACACAGTGAGAACAGGCTCTTTTTCGCAGGATTTTGACCGTTTCACTCCGTTCTTTCGCCATTTCCCCACTATACAGCGCCCTACTAGCATTTTAGGCCAAGCAGAAACCATCGTGCCAACTGCCTTTAAAGACAGCCCCCGCGCTCGAGTAGTACATGGTCGTCCTTCCTTGTGCAAGTAGTACAGCCCCCAAGCTAGAGGTCCCACTCTATTCGACTCCACAGTGAGCGAGGAGCGAGCTACAGCCGCTAAGTTCTAGTTCTAACGCCTGCTCAGTTGGACCGCCTTACTTGCTAGATGCCCTCCGACGAGGCCACTCAGTTGTTCTTAGTTGGGGCGGCGGGCATTAATCGGCCTCAATCTCATAACCGATTCAACGTATCGAGGGTTGACAAAAAAAATTCGACACAGGGTTGTCCTCTCCGAACCGCACTACCTTCCCACATAACCTCTTGCATTATCATAGGTCATCGCGGACTTCTTCAAAAAAGTAGTACTGTATAATAGCATTATCTTGTGGTATATAGATATGCTACAGTGGAATCCATTTATAAACCCTCTCATTCCACTATGTATGTACATACTGTGTGAGCAGCTGAGTGCATATGCACTCCATATCACGCACATGAGGAGGCTATGGCCGCGTTCTTCATTCTAAGATGGCGTGTGCTAGAAGTTGTGGGGTACTCTTCTTAAAGACAGCTCCAGTGTCTTGGATAGTTGCTTTTCAATTATGAAAGAGTAGCTGATAAATAATCTCTCAAAGAAG